TGAAAATTGTTGAGACATTTAAGATCAGTTTCTGCTTAAAGCATCCGTACAACTCCAGTGCAGCTACTGCTTATATCTTTGCCTCGAGTCAAGATGGATTTTTGAAAACAGATTTGGCCATATGGGTCATTTTGCTTCTGCACTCATCAGCAGTGAGAAGCACATCAGGCTGAGAAAGAGATGAGTAGGAGATGGAGAAAATGCATAGAGAAGCTGCAAAAGTGACCTGATCTTGGGAAAGAATGGTACTTCGCAAAGGAAGCACTATCAGTCTATTGGGTTCACTTTCTATTTGGTTTAGGGAAAAACTGTGTCTTCACATGGAGAAGGTCTGTGATGGCAGAGGCTTCCCCAGCAAGGCAAAGCACAACTACTTTCTGCAGACAGGTAATTCAGACTGGAGATATGATAAAAACCACTAGTAGTGAAGATAACTTTTGGAAGAACTTACCAGGAGGTGCCACTTGTCTCTGTCACAGGAAACTTCAAACCCGGGCTTTTTGGAGAGGATGGGCTGCAACCAAAGCACAAAGCCGTCAGTGTGAAGTGACATGTGCTTTATAGGAGACAGGCTGGAGGGCTACAAATTGCCTCCCAGTTTTAAAAATTGCTGCCTCTGCTTCTCTAGGGATGTGCCCTCCAGTGCCCCAATACGACAGTTGTAGGTGCTGAGGGAATGTCGGGGGAAAAGGACAGCAGGTGGTGGCCCCTGCCTGTGAGCTGACTTAAAATGTCATCTCCTGAAGTCACTGCTGGGGACAGAGTGCTGGGCTGGAGGGACCATTGCACTGAGCCAGTGAGACGTTTCTTATGTTGTCACTTAAAAGGTCTAGTGAACAGCAGAGGAAAATGATAACTAACAGAGCAAACACCTCTCCTCAAAACCTGCTGTGAGACCCAGGAGAGCAGATAAAGCTTTGTACACTAAGTTTGCATCCAAAGGAGGCAGCAAACTGCCTGATGCCCCAGTCAGGTCAGGGGAAATGGATCCTCAATGCTCCCCATTTCTCCTAAGACTACGAAAGAGCTGAGCTGGTGCTCTCAGATGTAGGCACTCAGAGGAGAGGTGCCTAGTTGGCATGGATCCTGCTCCTCCAGCCCATTGCCAGGCAGAAAATGGACTCGCACCTTGGCTAGAAGGTGGTAGCGACATGTTTAAATAGCCAACTAGCATCCCTAGAAGGCAGGGCTGAGTGTGTAAAAGGGGTCCTTCCCTGCCCCAGAGCACAGGGATATACAAGTAGCAGAGGCAGAGTACATCCTGTGTCAGCCAGCACAGGCAGAAATCCTACCAGCAGTCTGCAATGGGGCTGGTAAGCTGCCTGAATGGACACTAATGACGTCCTGAACAGCATCTGCCTCTCCAGTCCTTGGGATAAAGACTAGCGCTGGTGTTGTCTGAGGCAGGTTAAGTTTCCCCTACAGCTGTTGGTAATGGAGGGCAGCCTGGTGCAATCTGCACAGGAATCATCCCATGGATGTCAGCAAGACGCATTCACCCAGGCTCACACAAGTAGGGATGAGAAGGGACTTGGATTCACTGTGGTGTCTGGTGGGGCAGGATAGGAGACAGCAGCATGTAGGAAGGTCACTCCCAAAAGTGCTCAGCCAGAAAGATGAAGAAATCTGATTGAAACCCAAGCTCTGCAACTTAAGCTAGGGTTTGGCCTGAGCGATGCACCCCTAGGCTATCATCCTGCCAAGTCGCACGGTGCCTGGACGCCTGTGGTTTCCATGAGTGTTTCCGTTTCACCTCAGCAACTCGGACCCAATGCAAAGCAGGCAAACTAGAAAGCTAGCACTGCTGCGGCCAGTTTTTGCCTCTAGCTGATCCTGTTATTGCGCTAACCTGATGCAGCCGCACCAGCAGCTGAGCTATTAGAGCATTATAATCCCACACGTACTACGGCGATGCCACTAGAGCGGCTCATTTGGCAAGATCTGGATCCTAACGACGATTTAGGCTATGACCTTTTGCCACGTCACGCTTGCATGCTACAGAATTAACCATCTTGGAAATAATGGCTACAAACACCAGGAGTTTGCAACCAGCAGCTAAATGGGATCATCCAGTGCCCCTTGCATGTGGGCTTGTTCTTTCTCTCTCTGGCTGCATTCATACAGCTGAATAAAGCCGTTGAGGACCTGCTCCACGGTTTGAAGCCAGGTAGGACAGTAGACCTTGCATTCTCAAGCCTTAATAAGACCACCACAAAGTCAAATTAGTGGAGTTAGGCTGGTCGAGAGCCCCCATGTGCAAAAGCAGAAGACAGACCTGGATTCACACCCACACATCAGACCACGCTGCTGAGACTTTTTTGCAAGCGAAGCTGCGTGCACGTCCAGCTGCCGTGGCTCGGCAGAGGTAGGATCCCTTGTAAAGACGGCGTTAAGTCATGTGTTGAAATGCAGTAAGCAGGTGCTTCGTGTGGGTCTGGGGAAAGATGAACATATAGGCAATAAAAAATTTTCCAAAAGTGTGACCGTGAATGTGAAGTCACGTGCTGAGCAGGAGTTACCTTCAGGTGCTCTGAGCACTCATTTTTGTCCTTTTCCGCAAATATTACTGGCGGGAGCTGCTCCTCAGGTCATGTGTAGGAAGTGAGATGTAAACAGATGCATGTGAGTCTTTGGGCATTGCAAACGTCCCACCCTTGAAGGTCGTCTTTTCTTTGCAAGAACAACAACCCTTCTGGTATACCAGCCGAGTGGCCAGGACATACATCCAGGCAACGGGGTCTCGGAGAGGCTGGACCACAGCACAGCCAGAGTCCCGAGGCTGGCTGGACAGTAGGGATGAGGGATGCCATCTCTGCTCCACATGGATATGGTCGTGCTCCCCAAGCCTAGGCATTCAGTTGAGTCAATTCAGTTGAGTTAAACAGAAATAATTCCAAGGGATTTAGATGATGATAAGCAATGTAAATAGTGAGGACCTTTCACTTGTTTAAGGCTTTGATGTCAGAACACTTGCACTGATAACTTGCAGACTGAAATTTGCTGGTATAAAGTGTTTGTGCAGCTAGCAACTACAAATCAGGAAGAAATAAATAACAAATAGCTGGATGCTCACGGTTACTTTGGGAACAGAGAAAAGGATACATTTAAGCAAATCAATTCAGTCACTTGTCCTCAAGTCTGTCTGAAAATATTCTCAAAGTGTCTCTCAGCACTGCAAAAATTATCTCCTCTTCTCATTTACAAGCAAATGTTCAGAACTGAGATACATATTCCTCCCAGTTTTAATGTCTTAGGGGTGGGGTTGTGTCATCAGCTGTTCCAGCATTCACAATTTCCCACTTATTTATCTACTCAGGCGTCCTTTTCTATTTTTTTTTTTTTTTTTACGCACAGGCTCTCTGCAGTCTGGCAGAGCCAGTATTGCAGTATTGATTTCAGAAGAGGCAGTTGTGCTAATCCAGTCCCATACTGAAAACTGTGCTATACGGGGGCTGCTCTGTCTGGAGCAGCAGCCTCATCCCCTGCACAGGGCTCAAGTTTTAAAAAAAGCAAAAAAGAAAAGAAAGAAAAGCTACTTTTATCTGTTCTGCTTTGAAGGAAAAAAGGATTACCAAGGCTAAATAAGCCATCTGAGTACTTAGCTAGCAAGCCTAAATAGCACCCTGATAGGAAGTTCTGGCAGAGAGCTAATTAAATTAACCCTCTTTGATTTATTAACAAGCAGAGCAACATATCACACAGGATTGTCCCATGAAATGAATGCGCTTTCTGATTCCCTCGGCTGCTTCGGCGCAGTCACCTCCCGGAAAACCCTGTTGTGGGGACTCAAGTTTAACGGGACTCAATGGCTCGAAAAGGATCCCTGCCCACCAACAGAGAGAGACACTGGTAATAGTACACAAAAGCATGTTGTTTTCCTTGCGCTTCCCTAATTCCTTTTTAATGCCTAGGACGATCTAATGGCTAATTAGTAATTTCCTGCCCACCGATATGCAGATGAATGACAAGCAAAAGCCTTCTGCATGTTTAATTATTTTGTTGATTTAGAAGCCACTTTTCCCTCAGTGCAAGTTTCTCTGTGTGTGTGCTCTCATGCATCATGTATTTCATTATTTTCAGAAACATGCTCTGTGCCTTTTTATGCTCTCGTAGTTCCAGCAGCCAGTAATTACTGTGTTTTGTGTCCAATGGACCTGATCCAGCGGCGAGTGTAAATCAGGAAAACATCACTGACTTCAAATGGAGTTATTCCAAGTTACACTAGACCTGAGATCTGACCTCTCCTATTTTTAGTGGTGGGGGGAAATGTTTTTTGTGTGCTGCAACCCTTGTGAAGTAGCGGAATATAAAATTTAGAAAACTTCAGAGCAGTGAAAATCCAAATCAAAGCCCGCAAATGCACAGACGTGAATCTATTTATACAGCGAGCTCTACTTCTGCTTAACCCCTGCGAGGAACTGTAACTCTCTTTGCACATTTGATTTTTTCCCCTCAGTGAAACAGTCATCGTAGCCTATTTTTGCTACTTTCTAACAGTTTCACCGGTGGGCTTCTTCCCTATGCCTTACATTTAGCTTCGGCATCCGAGTGCTCTTTTGTTAAATTAAGGCAATTAATAAATGGAGACGTTAAGCAATCAATTCCGCCTGCACATCTCCACAGCCTCACGTATGACTGGCTGTAATCACAAGATAAATGCAATGTGCTGATGTATGGTAATGCTCAATAATACATTCTCCACCAGGCTCAATTCATCAGGGAGTTTCTGGAGGGGAGGCATTCGTTATTGGCTGTCTCCGGACCTCAAGGATAACATTTCTGTCCTTTCCATTGGCCGCCCCGCTGCTGCAAGCCTCTTCCCGTCTTATTTTGATGATGAATATGAAGGCATGCTAAGCCGTGCCGGAGCGTAGCTCTCGCCGACTGCACTCCCTCCCCGGGCTCAAGGACTCAGGGGCTCCCTGGCTGCTTCCCCTGCCCAGCGCCAGCACCAGCACCACCAGCAGCACCAGCAGCAGCAGCAGCAACGCCAAAAAGTTGTGATGCTTTTCTTCACCCAGTGCTTTGGGGCTGTGTTAGATCTTATTCACCTGCGGTTTCAGCACTACAAGGCAAAGAGGGTTTTCTCAGCTGCCGGGCAACTTGTCTGCGTCGTCAACCCAACGCACAGCCTAAAGGTGAGTTAAAAATATTTTTTTCTTTTCTGACATCTTCTCGTCCTCTCCCCCGCCAGCGTTTCTCCGCAGGGAGTGAAACGATTCTCTGGCAGCAAGGGGAGAGTGCTGTTAACACATTGCAGCCCTGGCAGAGAGGGTGTTTGTATTGTCTGGCTGCATGATTCCCTTTTGGAGCAAAGGGGAAACAACCCGCTGCTCCAAGCGATCGTGTGAAGTCGCTGCTCCCCCTCCTCAGAGTGTCTGGAAAAAATGATTGGAAAAGTTAGTTGGATGAATTAATGTTCCTTTTTGGAGGGAGGGTGTTGGGCAGTCCCCCAGGCTGACACCCAGGCACAATCGGCTGCTGCCCAGCAGTGGGGAGCGCGGAGAAGGGGGAGCAGCAGCACAGGGGTCTCTGGCTGCTGGTCTTGTTTGCTTTTTTTGGGAAAAAGGTTGTTTCTATCTCCTGAGGGGAGTCTGAAGGCGTTCCTCTGGTGCTGAAAGTGTCCTTAAGCTGTTTGCAAGGTGAATCTATTTTAGGCAGGAGAATACATTTGCCTTAATGCAAAACTATTTATAGTCCCCATAAAACATTTCTCTTACTCACGCAGTTCTGTATTTTCACTGATAAAGTGTCAACAGCCCCGTCTGTGCCAGAGCCCTGATGTTTGTTTGTAGAGAAGGAGCAGCAGGGGGAGAAAGAGACTGGGAGGCTTTAATTAATTTATCACGGTAGTGAATGACCAACTTTAACGAAGTGACTCCTGCTTTGTTGGAAGTCCTTGCAGACCTGGCTTGTGGTGCTGCTCAGGGAGCCCAACACAAGCTTGGAAATGAATTGAGTTCAGGACAACTTATCTTTGGCTCTGCTTGGGTCCCCACGAAGAACTCAGAGGGGTTGCGGGGAAGCATCTTTCCTGAGCTGTGGGTCCCTGGGTAAATTGATGGAGTAAATCCCTCTTCAGAGCAGCATTTCCCCCCAAAAAAACAGGTAGATCTCACACAGTTATATTTCCAGTCTTGGGCTGTACTCAGGCAGGGAGAGGTTGTTCCTAGCAGGGTGCCAGCTCCGGAGGGATTTCCCTGCAAGGCTGTGCCGGCCGGGGCAGACGCTTCCAGGGAAGGGACAGCTCGGGTGGGAGCTCTCCTCTCCCTGCATCCCACTCCTCTGCTGACACAAGCTATTTAAAAAACCTGCAGCCTTCATGTTATCTGAAAGGATCTGGCCATCCAAGTAGATAAAAGAAACAGCCCCCTTCCTAAGTGGTGTGGGGAGATTTTGTAAATGAATGCTTCTGTGCTCGACCCCTTTTATGTGATTGTCTTCTGCTACTTTCATCTATAATTTTAATTATTAAAAACAAATGAGCAGAAAAAAGGTTATTGAAGGTCACGATACAACTTCAGTTCCAATGGCACTGTCTGATGAGGTCCCATAAGCACACAGAGAGGTGTCCACCGACCACTCCACTGGCATCTAGGACTAGACCTGAATTTATCAGTGCAGGTCCTCTCGAGTTGCAGATTTGCTAATTTAGGAGCTGCAGCATTTTACCTTTGAATGTACCAAAAAAAGTTGATGCTTCTGTTCCTTTCTCTTAAACACATAAGGCATTTCCAGGGCCACACTCTTCACTGCTCAGACCCAAAGCCTGGTAGAGAGATGAGTAATCTTAGTACTGTCTTGGTAGCTCTTGAAAGTAGTCATTGGATGCTAAACTCGCTTGGAAACAAATGGGAGCCTTTAGGAAAAGATCTGACATGTCAGTGAAGCCCCAGTGAGAATTGTCTGGACCTGGGTGGGAATTGCTCTGCTGATAGAGTTGTAGTGGGAACCCAATAACACCTGTTTCCCCACGTGGGCCTATTGAGACAGCAGGTAGATGGGACAAGCTGATAACAAACATCTCTGCTCAAAAAAACCCCTCTGACTGTAAAGTGAAATATGCTTTGAAGGGGCTCCTGAATTGCCCAGATCACATTCAGCTGGGTAAATACAGCAGGCTTTAGCACTGACCTGCTCTCAAGGTGTTCAGTTTGGTTTCCCGCCAGCTCTGTAAGGAAGGCACCACCGCTCTGTGCCAGCACCCAGAAGAGGTGGGTGGTCTGGTTGGTGGGCTGGACTCCTTTGTGCCCAGCACGGCACCAATGGCTCCCACCCTCTAGCACCAGTGAATGGTAGGAGCCTGTGGACCAACACTGGCTGTCCCCGAATGAGACACTTTGCCCAGCCTGCTCTTACCTGGTGGTGGAGAGGTGCTCACCTCCCACTGGCAAGGCACACTGTCAAAAAACAGTATCAGAGACAAGCCAGATAAACCTGCTTCTCAGGATGCCCATTTCTCCCCTGGGGATGCACAGGGAGGCTGTTGTTGCTCCCTCCAGCAACCTGGTATAGAGATTTCTGGAGCTGGGACAGGGAATTCCCGCACCCCAAACAACACCTGAGGGACCATTAAAAACGAAAGGGCCGAACATACTCCTCTGGGGTGTTTTATGGTATTATGACTACTTTGATGTTTCATAGTCTACTATTTCTAGCTGGGTCATTTCAACTGCAACATTTTGTTGACAGCCCCCAAACCTATCTTAACAATTGACAAGTGGAGTGAAAACTGTGTTAAGGTTCGTGGTCGATGAATACAAGCCTGCTAGGAAACAAGAGCTAAGAGCAATGCCATTTCCCTCCTTTCTCTTCAAGGCTTAAATGTTTGTGCTTACTCCTAAATTGTAAGCTCTTTGCAAAGGAATTATTTTATTCTATATTTCTACAGCACCTGGGTGAGGGGGGTCCTGGCTGACCAGTGCAAATGATGAACGACAGGCATCGTATTCTGGTGTGATGATGCACGTTGACATCCCTCACATAGGTCAGGTCCTCAATCAGTAGCAATATGCACAACTCCATTAAAGTCAAATTGCAGCAAGACCTCCAGTCTCACTCCTTCCACCCAGGGGAGTACTCAGGGATGGTGGTGGGATCCAGCCTCCTTCGAGAACCCACGACTGGTGATCACACATGTGTGTCAGAGATTTGGCATCACATAAAGCACTCAGTGAGTGGCAGAGGTCAGGGGAGCCCTGGTACCCTCCAAGTTTGCACCAGCTTCTGCTGTCACAGATCCATAGCTAGACCAAGGGGTGCCTCCAGTGAAGTTATATTAGTGCACCATCACCGCAATCACAGCCCAGGCCTCTGATGTGACCAGAGCCCATCACTTACCTCTTCCTTTAGGAGAGGTCTAGAGGTTGGCAGAGAAGCACACACTTAGAAAGAAACCCGTGTCTTTCTTCCCACTGAAAAGCTTGTTAACTGGGAAGGCTGATGAACGATTTGGTGTATCTTAAAGGAGAAGATAGTAAGAGTGTCAGCACAGACACCTCTATTGATCTGCTGCTATTTTCCCTGTGCACGACAGGCTGACACAGGCAGCTCTGAACAAGGAGAGACAATTTTGCAATCGTCACCTTCCGCTTGCCTGTTTGGCACGAGTATGAAGGGAGATGTGGGGGGGTGTTCTGGAGCCTCTTTGTCCTTCTTGCTGCTTTCTGCTCTTTGTCTTCCTTTGAGCTTTCCCAGGCATGACATCTTTCTACGCAGTGCTACACTGGGATAAAAATTCGCTTGCCAAGCAGAGAAAATCACATATTTACAGCACTTCTATAGGTCACCTTCACTCTCGATCATATTATATGCATTACCTTGTAACCTGTCTTCCTTCAAATGTACAGTCACCCTGACATCTCCCCTTGGAGAGGCACGGCCAGGCAACCAAGCTGCCCAGCTAAGTGTCTGCTCCCTCCAAGGACATATTAATTAGAGGATCATCGCTCCTGCTGCTGGCTGCTGGCCCCAGCGTGCAGAGAAAGTTTTAAGGTGCTTCGTGCACGTGGAAGAAATGAGCAGGGTTTGCCCGTCCCTTCGGAGATGAGGCTCAGTGAATTCATCTGCATTTGCCCCCTCCCCCCTTAATAGCCGTTTCCCCTAGCACTGCTAATTGCACCCCGGGGAGAAGGTGAAAGTGGGCGACTGTGTCCTCACTCCTTAGCTGGCATCAGTCCCTGCCTCAAAACCCAGCTGTCCACAGCAAGGGATCGCAGTGCCATCACAGCCCAGCCAGGTCTTTATGCTTTGTGAGAGGCTGTGTAGGGCTGGGTAAAACAGATCCTCTCCGTTCACCAAGTTGCTGGCTTTTTACACACAACTTTAACTCTTTGAAGAGTGTGAAAAGTGTTCTTGTAGAAAATACAAACGTGTATTTACAAAGTTCTTTTAAAAAACACCCTTCCTCATCTCTGTAGGACTTAAAGGGACTCACTGAACTACGAAAAGAAGCGTATTTAAAGGAGGTTGTAAATAGTTCAACCTTATATTCAAAAAGGGTTGTAGCACGCTTTATGGGCCCAAAGTATCTCCCAGCTGTTTTTTAAAGCAACAAGCAAATCTGCTCTGAGTTAGGGAAGGGATTTGAATCCTGTTATAACAGTTTGGCTCTGTGTGCAGTGGCCAGCCAAATAGCATTGTAATCCACTTTGTCCCCAGCAGGATTAAAGTGCTACGGTGCATTATACTCCCATGAGATTTATTTATTTATTTATCTATTTGTTTGGTGCAAAGGAGGAGGAGAGGGACTCCGCAACCTGCTGCTAACAACCCCCAGACATCCTCTGCCAGCCACTCAGCACAGACATCCTTAAATCTCTCACACAGGACTCTGATTCAGGGAGGCCAAGTGGCGTTTGGCCCTAGTGTCCAGCAGGATTGTGACAGCTGTGGCAAAAGGGGCTGCAAAACCCTCTACTGGCTCCAAACCTGGAGCCTGGGTCCCATCCCTGCTCAGGGCCGGGGCTGGGTGGACACTGAGCACCACAGACTTTCAAATCCTTTTGTAGGGGTGTGGACGGTAGCAGTCAGTGCAGCTTTGCTGCCCCTCCTTCAGCCCTGCCTCCATTTGAAGGGATTTCAAAGGGAAAAACTGGAAACCAAGTTGACCATGAACATCCCTCCGTCCACGTGTCCACAGC